TGCATTCCCCCACTTGTGAATGGGAAGGTGAATTTAAGAAGGAAGGAATCTCCTCTGTTCATGGAAAGTCTCTGGTGGCTCAGAATCACTCACTGACTACATTCATATAATGTGCCAGACTGGGCTAAAATGGGGTTGGACAATTTTGAGGTTCAGCATATTCTGAGAAATGAACTAGGCCAATTGTATTAAACCATACTATGGTTCCCTGGTGTGTATGTAGCATACAGTACGTGGGCATATTTTGTTAATCTGGATTTACAGGATATAACACTGTCAGAATTCAGTCACTAAGTTACATGACTGAGGGGGACTAAACAGAGAACTCCCAAGGTCAGTTCACTTCAGTTGCAGTACACTACAATGCTACCCACACTAGCTGTCCTTGACCCTTCCCTACAGAATAGATCTTGGCCCTCTTCCTTGAGTCATCCAGATTAGTCTGGTTGGTATGGTTTATCTCTGCTTCTGATTGGAGGCCATCCCTAGAAGGGCAGCTTGGTTAGAGAGCACCTAATTCTTCCCCAACTTGATGCCCTCCATTTTTAATGACTCCCATCAGCCCCAGCCATCATGGCCAAATCTCAGGGATGATGGAAGATACAGTCCAAAACGTCTGCTAACCATCACTCTATTCATTAACATAATAAAGACAGAGATTTTAATTAAGAGATAGCTGGAGGAGGAACCACAGCTGCTTCCAAATAGAAAGAGCTGCAAGGCAGTGAGTCTAATCTAGCACATTATGCAGACTCACCATAAATGTTATACATTCTCTACTAGATAAACACTACTTAAAAAAAGAAGAGTTAAAACTAATCAAGCTTAGTATTCTGTGTGAGTACTGGTTGTGTTTTTGTTCCTTTTGTTTTGATAATGTGTTCTGTGAACATAACCTGGTTCCTGATTCATTGTCCAGTAAAATGCAAATGCTCAAAATACATTGAATTAAGTAATCAACCAAGTGAAACATGTTACACAAACTCTGTTCATAGAATGGAATTATTTGGATCCAAGCTTTAAATGGCTTGTGGAACTCACTGCCACAGAGCACACTGCCATAGGTAAATATCAGACAAAGTGGTGGAGGTGAGATGTAGATGGCATTCAGAGAAGAGCGGGTTTGTGGGACTGCAGCTATTCTGAGCCAAAGGACATATTTAAAATGTTGGGAAATTGTCAAAAGCCATCTCAGAAAATGGCTGCCACGGGGAGGTTTGCCTATTGGCAGTGGGGTGCCAGCTGCAAGAGATCCATTTCCAGGGATGTAAAAGGCCCATATCTGTATCAAAGACAACTCCAAAATAATTCGGTGAGACGCTTTCCCATGCAGACACAACATGAAATATCAGCAGGCGAAAGATGCCCATCCTCTGTAGGGAAAACAGGCCCTTATCACTTGCTAGCCTCCTGGCATCACTTTTTCTTTTTCTCTGGGTACTTGGGCACTCTCCTGTCTGACTCACTGGGTGGCAGCCACCTACTATTGTTTTGAATGCCTCCAGGGCACACATGGAATCCAGTGGTGTTCTTAGATAAAAAGGGCATTGGAACCCATTACTTTGCTTTGCAACATGCCAGACGGACAGTTTGGGGCAAGGGGGAAGAGAGAGGCAAAAATGTAAAAGAGAAAAAACAAAGTAATGATAAATATTAGGGGGACAAGGAGCCTAGTGGCTGCAGTATGCACTATATTGAGTGCCCACTGTAATGTAAAGAAGGCAGTATGTGCCATGACTCAGTTGGAGCCACCATTGGCTTTGTGGCAAAAGTGGGCAACCACTTTTACAAACGGTCAGTGAAAACCTTTGGTGAGAGGAATCTCTCTATTGCTTGGCAAACCACTGGATGGAGAGGAAGACAGACAGCAAGAGGAAAAGAGAGGCTATATTCATTCAATTCACTAAACCATGGTTAACTAAACCATGGCTTATAGAAGCCCCTTTTGTGGGTTGGCACAAAGCACTGAGCCACAAACCAGCCAGTCTCATTTTAGCCTAGCATGCTATGCGAACCCAGCCAGAGAGGGGAGCAGTAGCAGAGAAAAGGAGAAGATGAGAAAGAAGCTATAGCAGAAAGGCCTGGGAGAAAGAAGGAGGGAGAGAGAAAGGGGAGGGGTGGTCTCACTAATTCTCTGCTCTGACCCTGCACCCACCAGGACACTTCCAGTAGCAGATTATCCTCAAGGGCAGGAATGTGTAGCCTTTGAACAGCATGCACATTTTGGCTGTGCTCCAAAAAGTAGGTGCAGGCGGAAGAAAAACTAACTATAATTTAATTAATTACATTTAATTCTAAAAGTAAGTGTGCTTCCTTATGTGCAACTAAGTTAAGTATTCACTATGCATGTATTAATGTTCTACATCTATCACATTAATTAATGACATTTCTGGAGTTGCCTTGAGAGTCACAGCCAAGTCAGGAGCCACTTGTGGCCTTGTTTGACACTCTGCTGAAGGAGATGCAAGCTGTGGATTTCCAAAGAATTATTTCTGCTATGGACAAAAATAAAGCCCTGTATGACCATTTATGTGTATTACTTCATTCTAGGGAGCTGGTTGTATGCATTTTTTTCTTTTTTTAAAATGAGGTTATGGAATACGTCTGATCAGAAGGGACATTGAGGAAATGTAATCATCAGTGATGGAGTCCAGGATTGCCCTCCCATTTCCTGCACTGTCATTGATGAAAGACAATCTGTTTGTGTACTGTGGATCACGCAGTGCTCCTAAATATCTTCACTATATTGTTTTTATCAGGAGAAAATACATCATTAGAATAGACTGGCCTTCTGCAGCTTGATGCCATTGGCCATGCTGATTGAAGGAGATGGAAGTTGTAGTCCAACACTTCTAATGAAATCTACTTGAGGAATTCTGAAATAGCCACGCCCTTCAACTTTTGAAGCGCATCTAAGTATTTTTTTACAGGTGTTCCATTTCATGGCTTTGTCTCAGCTGCA